GTGTGGCTACTGATGTCTCTACTGTTCCTTTTTTTTTAAAATTACAGATGAGAGAGAGAATTTGTTTTTCCACGTACTTAACACTTCATTAGTTGAGTTTTGTGTGTGCCCTGATCAGGGATTGAACCTGCAACCTTGGCATATCAAGCTGATGCTCCAACCAGCTGAGCCACCCAGCTGGGGCTGTCTTTATACTCTTATTTTAATCTCTTACTCTGGCTTCCCAGAGGTTGCTGCTGTGAGGCTTGATGGTCAGCAAGAGGTGGTGCTCATTGAACACCCAGAGCCCGTGTGGCTTCCATCCATTGCCAACGGATCTGTGTGTGGACTGAGAAGTACACCAACTAGGCCCGCGCTGGCTGAGGCCATTCTGCGCACTGGGCTTTCTTGATCTCCCCTGCGCATGAGTCAGCTCTTCCCATCAGGCAGGGCTCTTCATGGCTGCCCCAGTTCCAGGGTCTCCTCATTAGATTTCCGCGGGTCGGCCCTTCCTGGAATTGCAACCTCAGGCTAGCAAACCTGGGTTTTCTCCACACTTCCTTCCAAGTCCCCCCTCAGACTTGGGGGGACTATTGTCTGACAAAGTCATGGGTTTTGCACAGCCTTCACCCCCACAGAGCTCCCCCCTCAGGCAACAGAGCTGCTGCTTTTCAGACTTGGCTTGGTGCTGGAAAAACCAGGATGCTTGGTGGGCCTGGGGGGTTGGGTAGCCCCAGGCAGAAAGGCTCCAGGCTCCAGTGGTTCTTACCTAAAGCTCTAGAAGTTTTTCATAACTGTCTTCAATTTCCTGTCTGCAAAGGCAATTACCAGAACCCCTAAATGGTTGTTTTTGACTATTTTGGTTACATCACTTGTTTTTTTGCAGGGTGGACTGGCTGACCTCTTCGCACGGCCATGGCCAGATGTCCGTCTCTCCTCGTACCTGGATCGCCTATTCTTGAATGATGGAGACATCTGACACACACAAATCCAAGCATGGCCGCAGAAGTAAAATGACTTTCCACCAGGCAAACTTACTATGTTTAAAAGAAAAGATCGAGTGAAAACATTTTTAAAAATGGAAGTCAATTTCTCAAGTAGCAATTCTGTGGAGAATGGATTTTTACTACCGATACTGTTCAACGCAGGAGCTACAGTTGGCAAGTGCAATCCTAGAGAGAGCAACACAGGTTGAGCGCATACATCTAGACTGTTCTGGTAGTGAGCTTGCATGCGAGAGGTATGCCAAATGCTTTGGGGAAATGATTTTGAAATGATTCCAAAATTGTTCAAAGACTACACATTCCATATACATTTTCAAAAATAAAAAATGACCTCATTAGTCTAGAATTTGTAACTTTATCACCACCACCCCATTTTTATTCAGGGAGTGCCTGAAAAATCCCTTTTATAAAGGGATGAATGTGTCAACTCACAGATGACACCATGGTTCTTAAAATACAGCAAAATGAAAGGAGCTGCAGAGGAAACCTGAAGCAAATTTATGTTATTTTGCTTCCAGTTCTTTTCTTTAAAAGAAATCATGTTTCCCTTCACCATCTGGCATGGACCTCACCCTTTGGGAAATGTATTCATTCAAGAATATACACCGATTCACCATTGTTAGATGAAAACTTCTCAGTTTACCGTCTTCCAACATTTAAATGCCTTATATTTCACAAACAAAAGAATTATATATTTTACATTTTTAACAGTCCAAGGGCACCTAGGAAACAACTTTACCAAACTCTTACATTAAGCTCACCAAAAATTTAAAACAGATTTAATTTTTGAGGGTCAGAAACAGTTCACTGAAGTCAAAGAATGCTAGGGCTGAAAGGAGAGTACTCTTGTAAAAAAGTCACAGCTGAAAATTATCACAGTTAAAATATCATCATAGTGCAAATTATTAATTTCTTAACCCCAAAGGGCTAAAATTTTGATGCACAGTAGTAGCCAAGGCAGAAAACAAACTAAGGGTTCAAACATTTGCCTTAAGTGATCCACTTATTAACATTCTTGAAGTTTTCTTCATCTCCAAAACAAATATTCGTGTATTTATAAAGGCTTATTAATTTACTGGAGGTATTAAATGACAATAACATGCTGTAAAACCTCCAGCCGTATCATATATTCACATGACCTAAGCCCCAGGGACGGGAAAACAAGTTCAGATTAATAACATTTTGTATTCCGTTAGAACTGCTTAGGGCAAGAAGTGTTTGCCATTAAATCTGCGAGCTCGCCTCCTCCTCAAGTGCTCACACGTTCCTTCCTTGAACAACCACACCCCTCCTCCCATCTGCCTGCCAGGACCAAGTCAGGGCTCCCTCGCACCTCCCACAGTTCTCTAGTAACGCCCACAGGAGCCTCTCTCTCCCTTCACTGTGAGTTTGGAAGCCTCAGACCCTCCCCAGGCCGCTCATGCTTAGCCCATAAAGTTCCCTGCCAATCTCACAGAAAATTCCCACAGCTCTCCTCCTCCCAGATCCACCTGTTACCTGCCTCTCCCTCACTCCTGTGCCAGTGAGAGTCTCTTCTATCGCAGGCCCATCCCTCCACCTGTGTTTGGATGCTATCAGGCCTCCTTCTTGGGGCCTCTCCTCTCCCCGCCCTAAGCATTGGCCGTGCACAGGCTAAAGCCTCTCCACTTACACCAATGTTCCCTCCACCCCACTTTCTTCCCCTAATGTCCTCTTTCCCCCTCACCATCTAATTTCGTGTAAGAGTTGCCAACAAACACTACCTCCAATTGCTCACCCCCTACTCAACTCCCTTAAGAATCCCATGGTCCCTCCCTCCATTCCACTGATGCGGCTCTCAGTTAAGGCCAAAAACTCTCTGGTCCCTGAGTCCAATGGAGTCTCCTTACAGCTTCTCGCAACCAGAGCCGCAAGCACTCTGCACTTTTGACCTCTCTCTACCTTCTAGACACAAGTCTTGGCTTTGAACACCCCCACACCTGACCTTCTTACTCACTTTTTGGCAGTAATCTCAACTTTTGACACTTGTCCCCAAGTGGTACATTTTTTCATTTAATAAATACTATGAATGATTGTGCCACTTGATCCTTCCAACCCCCTGTAAGTTTATTTTACTACGTAGGTTTATTTCAGAGTTGAGAAATGTCAGTCCCGTAGTCAAAGTCATTTTGTTAGGGTCACACAGAAAGGGTCAAACCAATCCACACCTCAACTTTCAAACTCACATTCCTTCCGATGCTGCCATCATCTTAGAAAAAGAACACATATGAACAGCTGAAAATATTCAAGTGCCACATCTTAGAAAAATGAAGACACTGAAGACATGGCTGATTATCTCGCAGAAACACCAAGAGCCCAGAGATGGGTATTATCACCTCTGAACTTAAAAAAAAAAAAGGCTTTTGGCTAAAACCTCTCAGGTCCTCTTTTCATACATTATCTTATGTTTAGCATCTATTTGTTCGTATTTTACATTTCCAAGGCTCAAACAGTATCCGCACAGCAGACATCCGGTGAAGACATTAGCTTCAGGAGTTGATCAACTGCTGCTATAAACAACATGTGTAAGTCATTTCTTCCCCATCTAAAGAAAAAGTCAGCAGCTGTTTCCTAAAAAAATCTTATTTTTTTATTTTTTTATTGTGGATGAAGACATTGCCAACTCACATATATCATTTTTATTTGGAGGGGGTTTTTTTGTGTGTTTTTTTTTTTTGCCTTCCAATACTCCTGAGAAATTCAGAAATGCATTGACGTTAGCTCTATAAAACACAACCCAATCTTATGGTTGGGCTGTAAATTTCCCACATTTAGTTATTTCCCTAAAAGTCAAAAGACAACCTACCAATTTTAAGTACAGAAACCTTAGTAAGTTAAAAAAAGTAAACACTGGCAAATAATCACAAATGTCAGAACATTGAAAGTGTCATTACTTTTTCCATAGGAATTATAAAATAATTATCAAGTATAACTGACTTGGTATTTATAAAATTAATTTTTTGAAGGGAGATGTTTTAAATAGATACATGAAAAATTTCCTTAATTTTAGCGAATTCAAATGCTTTTAAGTTTGATGAATAGCACTTTCTAAATAACGCCCATCATTCCCCGTCCCTGAAGAGTTGTTTTCCACCTACAGATTAAGTAATTTGAGAGTCTTTTCTCCCCTTTCGATTGACCATTAAAATAGTTAAACTGGAGGCTTTACTTGGGGGAAGGGGGATTTTAAATATTTTAATTGGCTGGTTTTAAGAAAGTCATTTCTTTTCCCCATGTTTTCGTTGTTGTTGTTTTTTTCTTTTAAATCAATAATGGCCAGAACTAAAACTCTAACAACCATATGATACAGAATTGTACTAAAAAATCACATTCAATGTCTGGCTGGATTTTCTATTACACTATTAGCATTTGAAAGCCATTAGGAATGTTGTCAGAAACTGTGGCAGCTAAAGCAAAATTCAACCACAAAGTCTACTAAGTTTGCAGAGAAATAAACAGTGAAATTACTACAGTTAAAATACTGCAGTAAAATTAGTTAGCAGTGCCCTATTGCTGACATTAGAATTATATGCTTCATCACTCCACGGCTACTAAAAAGATTCCTTGAGCAGATGCAGATGGTTCATCTCTGACACAACTTAGTTTCAGAAAAGGATGAGTTATGTCTGGTTCAGATCAACACACACTTACTATGCATACCAGTGAGCTATAGTTTCAATGACGACGCAGTTGAAACATTAGGTACTACAGCTTCAGGCCAAGGTCACATACTGAATTAAGCAGCAGCCATGTAAGGTCATGCTATGACATTCAGATATGCAATCCACCCGTAACAGCTTTCAAACTTATGTTAAACTATGGCATGAAGGGGGAACAGGCTGTTTTGAGTAGGGAAGGAAATACTTAAAATGTCATAAAAGGCATTTAAAAAATGATGACATGCTACTTAAATATCCACTACTTAAATTTTAATTTTCAAATTAAAATAATTTTTTTTGTATTTCCTATTTCTCCAAAATGAAGGATCATGTCTTTTTTTTTTTTAACTTAGAAACTTTTATTTCAGATGCTCCACACTGAAATGAAACTTCAATGGCAAGCAGCAAATAATTTAGGATGGTCAGTAAAAATGTCTTTAAAAGGATCATATAAAACCCAAGAGTAATAATTTCATAAGAGAAATAATGGATAGAACAGACAGGAGACAGTTTGACAGTTCTAATATAGAACTGGTATGACAACTTCCTTTACCATATACTAAATAAAGAACAGCAATATAAATAAATTAGCTAAGGAAACAGGACGTGGTGAAGCAGCAATGCCTCAGTTACTAAATTCTCCAGAAAAACCAGTTTAACCCATCAATACATGAAGACTTCCAATCTTCTAAAGACAGTAGAAAGTGTACAGTTAGTCACAGCAAAATTTACAAATAATCAAATTACCCTGCCCGGAGCCAGGACTATTTACATATTTGGATTAGTGTCATTTTCGCCTTCCCGTTATACAGATGTTTCTATTTTAAAGGCATATTGAAATTTACAAAATTTCCAACAAATGTCTTTAAATATACAACTTCAACAACTAATACAAATGTGAACGTCCCGATTAAGTTCTAAGTCATGATTTTTCATGATGGGTTTATAAAAAAATTAAATACTCCCTTGTTCGTAAGTTCCCAACACCTGGTGCTGGTGCTGCTGAAGTACCTTCACTGCCCTCAGCGACTATGAGGGTGAGAACGGGCAACTCGACTGGCATCGCTCTCACATCAGCCTCTCAGACAGAGGCGGAAGGCGTCACATTTGGCGATATTGCTAATTATAGCTTCGTAAATGCAGCTGTACGCTTTAACACTTATACGCAAGCTCTGTGTATGTGTGTTAAGAAAACAATTAGCTTTAAGATGATATCTTTAAAAAGATACCGATACTCTTAAAACCAAATCGCATATTGATAATATGTACTTGACAACAAAAAGAGAATGGCTGATACTGTACATGCAAGAATTTGGATGGATCTCAAGGGCATTGTTCTGAGTGAAAAAGTCCACCCCAAAAGGTTACATCCTGTCTGATTCCATTTATATAGCATTCTTGAAGTGAGAAAATTCTAGAAATGGGAGAGCACTTGGTGGTTGCCAGAGGTTAAGGGAAGGGGCCAGGGAAGGAAGTGGCTGATTTTAAAAGGGTAGCCTGAGGGGTCACATGATGTATCTGTACTGTAGTGGTGGATCACATGAATCGACACGTGATAAAATTGCATAGAACCCAGTACACACACATCCCACCTCAGGACACCTCTGTCCTCCCAGGGACAGCGCTGTTCTTGGCCTGTCCACACCAAGTCCTCTGAGGATGATTAACACACAGTTCAGATCAGTTTTCTGCACTACACAGATAAGCCACTACTATTTTCTTCTTCCTTTCTTTTTTGGTAAATCTCTTGATTATCTTTAAAAGACCAATCACATGTCACTACTAGCTTAAATGAGTTTGAAAATCAGAGAAAAAAAATAAAAAGCTGATATACAGCTAGTAGTATTGTCTTTTTATTTTTCTTATTTTTGCTAAGATAAAAAAATCAAATGTTTCTAGCTTAAATTGGGTCAAATCAGAGAAGGAAAGAAAGCAGTAAGATAGCAAACATTTCCTCCCGTGACACCTGCCATTTCTAAAAGCATTAAGAATATTTTTATTAAATTTAGAGAAAATACAACTGCAGACAAATACATGACTTTTTCCCAAAGGCCACTTTGTGATAAAGTACATATATATAGTGTTCATGGTTTCTTTAAAGTGCTATGTCTGTCATTTCTGGCTTGAGAGTCATCTATTGCTTCAAAAGGCCCTTCAAAACAACGCCAGCACTGTTGTCAGGTGACACTGGCAAAGGCGTAAACGTGGGCAGCACGTCTGAAATGGGTTTCAAAAGAAGGTGCCCGGGCCCCCCAGGTCCGAGTCCAGCTGGGTTAATAAGAGGCACGGCCGCAGAGCGGGTTGCCAGGAATGGATTCACATCCGTTCTTCTACCAGGCCTCGCTTCTGTCGTATCTAAAATGACAAAATAGGAATTATTTAGTTTCCTATATGTTATTTAATCAACACTATACATGTGTTCTAGATTCCCAGATTCGGCCCCTAAATAAATTTAACCTGCTTATTCTGGATCCAATAAGCAGGGTCTATGAAATATAGAAGGGTGGAGGACAAGACAAGAGAAAGAAATGGGAGAAAGAAAAGGGAGATTATTTGACCGAATAATACTTCATTAAACACATTAACATTCTCACTTTATATTTAAATACGAGTCATAGAGCTGATAAACTTCATTTACTATTGAAATGGAACAAAAGTTTTACCCTTTAGGATATTAATTTTTAAGCTGGTAATTAAGGAAAAACTCAAGAAGCAGCGGAGAGCCACCCCAGCCCCTGTTCCTGCCTAAGAGATTCAGAGGTCCTTCCCTTGCTTAGCAGCCTTGTTCGAATTGAGTGCGCCGACCAGAGGGCTCGGGCCGGGCTGCGGCCTAGACAGCCCTGTGTCTCAATGCCTCCAGCTGCCAGCAAGGGCTTCCCTGCCATGTGTGCTCGGCTCCTCCTCAACTACGTGTGAGCAGCCTATTCTCGCTGTTGAGATCTCAGCCCTCCCTCCCATTCCCTCCCTGTGGTCCCAAATTTCATAACATACCCAGTGTTGCCCGTCTTTGGCATTTTCATGCTTATGTAATTCCCCATGCACGTATGGTAAAAATTTTATTTTCTCCTGCTAATCTGTGTCTGTTAATTTGATCATTAGCCCAGATAAAAGAACTTAGAAGGTGGGAGGAAAAGTATTTCTTTTTTTTAGCTCCCTCATTAAAACTGCTTTTTAAAAGGTGTTTTCTAAGTTACAAGGCGAACTCTCTAACTACCCACCTGAAAGCTTTCAATGAAGGACTTTAGAACTTGGTTTTCCTCAAATAATTATGATGACAATGAAAAAAACTGGCACCACATTACAATTATAACAATCAGATTTATATGAATTTACCAAAATAAAGAAAATATATGTATTATATTACCACGGCAATTTCAACCTTTTTTATTCACGGCACACAAACTAATTACTGAAATTACGCGGCACACCAAAAAAATTATATTTTTCTGCCTATCTGACCAAAAAAAAAGGTATAATTTTGATTCATTCACACTAGATGGCAATTGTTGTGTTGGCTGTTGTCGTTTTTTGACAATCTAAGAGAAAAGAGGTCCGTGTCCCTAGCCAAACAGTCAGGTAGTGCATGTTTTAAAAATTCTCATGGAATACCATTTGAAAATTGCTACATTACCTGATCATCTTTTAGACATTCAAAGGTTTGAAAACAAACTTAATCATATTATTTCTCTATAAAGTTAGGCTGAACAGTTAGTTTATATTGGAATAAGTATTTGGTTTATGCCTAATGTCTTACTGTATAGAATTCTGCTTTATTACCCATGACCACTAAGAGCTTCATGGTTAAGAGACAACAATCACCCTGACTGGTGTGGCTCAGCTGTTCCAGTGTCATACTGCAAACTGAAAGGTCGCCGGTTCTATTTCCGGTCAGGGCACATGCCTGGGTTGCGAACTGGTCTCATGATCGGGGCACGGGCGAGAGGAAACCAATAGTATCTTCCTCTCTTTCTCTCTCCCTTCCCTCTCTCTAAAAATAAATAGATTAAAAAAAAAAAAAAAAGAACTGTTTTAAAAAAAAGCAGCAAGCAACCCCTCGAAGGGCCTGCTTCAGCAACGGGAAGCTCAAATAAAAGACCTCTAAAACAAAGAAAGCGCTGAGACAAATTCATCATACCTACTTCTCAATGAGCAGCTGTGGGTTCCCAAGCTGTATTTTGCTGTGAACAACAACTTTCCAAACTCTGGGAAAGCCTGTGTGCTATTTACTAAGCTCTGGCCCAGGCATGTGCATCCAAATCCAGAATTAGAGACCACATTTACTTTTTTTATGCAAACCCTGGACCAACTCAGAACAACAGTGGCTTTTGTCTCTGATCAGTACAAGTCAAGCTGGACACAGGACTGGTAACTAAACGGGGAGAGCAGGAGAGAGGGAGGAGAGGGAAAGGGACTGAGAGTGGAGAAGCAGGGAAAAAGCGGGGAGACCCTGCCATAATGAATTTTGGAATCTTCCTTAAGATGCTACAACCTAGTGTAACAAGAAAAGTGTTTTTTATAGTCTACACCTGTTAAAGTTAAGACTTTTCACTAAATTTAGCATCTGAACCTTTTAACTAAACCACCAATAAATTTTACCACTTTCTCTTTCTATATAAGTTCAGGAAAATACAACTATTGGTCTGAATGACTAAGTAATTTTTAAATTTCAGAATATAAACTATTTAATATTTTATCCAAATTTAAGTATACGACATGTGATATAAAACTTTAGACTATAGTACATGTATGTTTACAGTCCCACTAAGAAACATGTTAGTCTGAATTAAAATATAAAGATTTCAGAAAAAAGAGAGAGCTTACAATAATCTTTTTACAGTGTAAAGGATATACTTAAATTTCAACTCTAGAAATGTTACTACATGCATTAATATAGGGGATAGGAATATAAATAAGACCCTCATAAACTAGTGGAATAAAAAATTATGTGGTACATACCTATGTACCACCAAACCACAGCTTCTAGGCAGATTTTTCAACACATAAGAACGCTTCCCAGAGGTCTTGACTGTCTAAGCCAGTTTATTAAAGGACTCTTACAAATATTATTAACATGCTACGGTTTGGGTATTGAGCATGACACTTAGATTTTCACAGGGGGAAAAAAAACATCTTTCTCTAACCATAAACTACACTTCTCTGATTAGCAGTAAGTATCATCAGTGAGAAAGGAAAACAAGGTAACCAAGCAAAGGCCTAGCACTTCGCCACCTCTTCTAAGAAGAACACCAGTAAGTCAGTATGGCTTATACAGAGAGCAATTATACCAATATACAAAGGCAAAATATTTCATATTGTTTAAATTAGTCAAAACCAATTAAATATCAGGTTACCACAGAATATACGAAGCCAAAATGTAATGTCTTATTGGAATTTTGGAAGAAGCCATTACACACTTTCAAAAAACACTATAAAAATTAGTTAATATCACTGTAAAGCATAATAATAAACATTTTTTTAAATGGTAGAAAAAATAAATATCTGGTTTTACCTTTATAACTTTCTGGTACATTTGTATCCAGTTTCTTTCTCCTTGGTGAATCTAAAGGTTTCATGTCATGAACAGAAAGCTTAGGTGGTGGAATAGATGGATGAGATTCTGTTTCTAGAAATTTAACAAAAAGTTCTGAAAAAGACTAAGAAAAAATATTTGGCTTATATTAGACAGACATTAAAATTGTATTCACTATTACTTAGAAAATCTACTAACTACTCTTATATTAAAAACTAATCATGCCATCTGAATCATTTCTTTATAAATAAGATTTATGACTAATTAAAAGTGCTAGCACTTTAGTTACATAGGTATGAAGTAAAACCTTTAACTTACTAATCTTTGATGACAACACTTTACAATCCTATAGTCAGAATTAGCCACATGCTACATTTTAATAACTGTTTACATAGACATGAAAACTTACATTGACAGAAAACAAATATTAAATCTTATTTTTCTAAGTAACAACCAATCAATGAATGTAGCAAAAGCTCATGAGTAATTTGATCAGATTAAAACACTGTAGTGCAGACCTTTAATTTTTATGCCATTTGATTTAAAATAGGTTTTTGTCGCTAGTTACCTGTAAATAGGTCACATATCCTCAGTTTCCTCTTTGTTAAAAAAAATAAAGAAACTCTACATTCTAACTCACAGTGCTACTCAATTCAACTGATACCCACCTTAAGCCTATAACAACCCAGGCACCATTTCCCACATTTGCTCACTGCCTCCCCGGCCCAGAATGGGAGCTCACTGAGGGCAGGCACTCTGTCGGGTTTGCTGCTGCATCCCCAGTGCTTCGGAGGGCTGGATGCACAGCAGGTGCCCACTAAGAATCCACTGGCCCAATGACTAGATAGATACCTACAATGTGTAAAATAAAACCTCCATCTTTAAGAATCTCATAAGTTAGTAGTAAGACAAATGATTGTGTGCCTACAGTATCATAATCAAATACAAATGAAGGAATAGTTAACACTTTGAAAAATAGAAGTACTACATAAGTAAAAAGCTACAATAAAACCTATATGCAATAAACTTACTAAAGCTGCCTTATTATCCTTAGGTTAATTACATTTCTGGATCTCAGCTTCCAAACTTCAAAATAAAAGGGCTGTATAAAATAACCTAAAAAAGAAATCTGATTCTTTGCAATTGAATGTGATGTACAATCATTCTACCACTCATATTCAGCAAAAAATAAAATCAGCTCTTACACTATTAAACACAGTTTGCTGATTTGGTCTCAGAGGTGTGTTGGGGACACTTTTTGATCCTCCTCCAAGCCACCCAGTCACCCATCTGGTAACGCCGCCCTGATCTTCATTCAACAACTGGAAAATTATTTGAAAACAGAAAAGTATTATCAGTACAAGAAAGGAAAAAATAAGACCCATTTTTACATTATTTCAGATGGCAGCAAAACATGCTTTTCAAGCCCAATTCCTAATAAATGTTTCCTACTGAAAGTGGCTGCAAATACAATGAAATGTCCTCCCAAACACTATCTTGAATAAAAGTTGAGGGCTGCCACGTCTCAAAACTTCAGCAGTCTGATAAGCGAGGTGGCATATAAGTTTCAAAATAATTAATGTAATATTATACAAATCGAACAAGTCCACCCCTTCGCTGTAGTACAAAATGATTCCATTTCCACGTTATTGAAAAAACTGTATTCAGGAAAAGTTATGCAAAATATAGTGAAAGAAAATGTGTATGATGCCACTATTTTAATTATAAATGTATTCAGAATGGTTTTCATTATTCAGTTACCTGCTCCATTTCCTCCTTTTTGATACCTAGGATGCTTCCCATTAATCGTAACACTTCATGGCGCTGATTTTTTGGTGTGTGGAAATGTCCAATGAAGAGGTTTCTCATCAGGATTCTACAAAAATGAAGGTAGAAGCAGCTCAAGCTTTCTCAACAAGCTATCCCAGTTTTTAGGGTACTGAAATAGGAAACACTAAACATATAAATATTTAATTATACATAAATACCTAATTATAAAAAACACTAAACAATAATGTATTTTGAAGTTATACTTTAAAAAAATCTTGACATCTAGTTAAGACTATTTCAAACAACCTAAAATGTATACCCCCAAAACATCACTTACTAACCACCCACTTTCTTTAACCAAAAACTCAGCTGAGATGGTGACTACTAGTAAGTAACGCTCAGTGACTTCTGCACTGATGTCAACCTTAAAGAGACACTTCGGGTTTTTCTCTCCCCACCTTAAATGGCAGTGATAGTTTGTGTGCTTAATGGTTATGCTTATATTTTCCCATTCACATTTATTTGTAACTTGCTAATAATATGGAAATATTTAAAATATTAATGATATACTACATATATACCTATATTTTAGATCTAATACATTTGAGCAGAATATGTTCATTTAAGGATCATAAAGAGAACAAAAAGGAATGGTAGAATACAATCTTTATTTTCTAAGGGTGGTCATATTTTAACTCTTCCCTATGAAGAAAAATAATTTGAGCTGGAAAAATCTATTTAAAAGCCAAGAGAAGAAGTCCTTCTACTGACCCCTCATTAAAATTACCTATATCTTATCACTATATAAGAAAAAGGCTTAAAAAAACCTAATCATATATAAACATCTACAAGTTTTTACCATAGAAGTACTCTTCATAAAATACACGAAAGTTAAAAGGCAGAGCATACTTGTCTACTTTTCCTTCTGTGCTGTTTACTAAGTTCATCAATTTCTTTTGCACATCATCCAGCATTTCTTGTCGGAGCTCATCTGTTTCAAAACATGTGAATAAAGATAGTCATTAACTGATTAAAATAGTCTGGATGAGTATGTAACGAGATTTAGGCCTTTACTGGAATTTTGACTATATGCACTTATTTCAATTAGGAATATTTGATTACTTCCATCTCATCTCTTCTTAGGTTCAGTGAACTAGGTTTGCTGGTATAGAAATTTCCTAGAAGCCAGAGTATGCATTAATTCATATGGTTTAGCCCCAATAATCAATTCTTTAGCAGAAAATTTATAAATCCCCAAAAGCTTTTCATTCTTTTCAGAAACTAAATAGCAAAGAAATTTTCACCACTGCTTCCTTGCATGAAACAGTTCCAGAGAAATGTTTAATGGGAAGAAATGGAAAGGCCAATTTTAGATTTTCTTTTTTCCTTTTTCCTGGCTGGACTCTGCTTTTTGGTGAGCTAAGAAAAGTATCTAACACAACTAAGGCCATGGCTCAGGATCTGGCTGATATGGCAAATTCTGGGGTAAATTAAGAGGTATAATTCATATCACTGATTCTGCTGGTCAAGGTACTATCATTTATGACTGATTCAGAAGGATGTTCAGACTACTTTAAAATTCTTATTCAAAAAGGGAGTAAAATCTGTAAAATCTTGGTGCAATAGTTCGAATTTGAGCAGCAGTAAAAGCAAAGTCTAGAATTTCAGCAGGAAATACCCTGTTCCTAAATTCAGCCATGCCACAGGGCCAGGATTCCTACACTCAGGAACTCGCGGCCAAACCCAGGGATTTCACACCCATTACCTCACACATGGGCAACATGAACTGAAGGAGATGCTCATTACCTTCAAGACAGATTACCCATTTCATTCTGGAAGAAATGAAGACTGCTTTGCAGCAGAGCTCGGTATTTTCAAATGAAGAAACACACCCACACAAGACGCTCTCACCTCTTTCCACAAACTTATTCTTGATTTACACTGCATTTCCTAGTGGTAGCTGGATACAAGTTCTCTTATCAGAGATATGACTTACAAATATTTCCTCCCATTCTGTGGGCTGTCATTTCACTACTTTTTAAAAGATTTCATTTATTTACTTTTAGAGGGAGGGAAAGGGAGGGAGAAAGACAGGGACAGAAACATCGATGTGAGAGGTGCACATCGAGTGGTTGCCCCTCGTGCGCGCCTTGACCGGCAACCCAGCACGTGCTCTGAACAGGACTCGAACCGGCCATCTGTCGCTTCTGGGCAGCGCCCAACCAACTGAGCCACACCGGTCAGGGCTCACTTCCCTTTCTTAGCGGTATCCTTGGAAGTACAAATGCTTTTAATTTTGTTGAAGTCCCAGCTTATTTTTCCTTTTGTCACTTGTGTTTTGAGTGTTGTAGCTAAGAAACTGCTGCCTAACTCAGCATTGCAAAGATTTGCTCCTATGTTTTGCTCTAAAAGTTTTACAGTTTTAACTCTAAGATGTAGGTTTCTCACCCATTTTGAGTTACTTTTTGTGCACAGTGTGAGGTAGGTGTCCAACTCTGTGCTTGTGCAGGTGGCAGATATCCAGCTGTTCCAGCATCACTACACTCTTGTTGAAAATATATTGGCTGTAGGAGTACGGTTTATTCTGGACTTTCAAGTCCCACTGCAAGACTTCTGTAAGTGATTTTTCTTCTGCCTGCAAAGCTCTTCTCCATTGGCACTACTGATTAACTCCTAGTCACCCTGCACGTCTTAGTTCCCAGGCCACTTCCTCCAAGAAGTTTTCTCTGAACCTTACAGACTGAGCCAGGTCTGTTTGCTCTATGTCTTCATTTTGTCTGGACAATGCCTAAAATTCTGACTTACATATAGTGCTAAATGTACACACAAACAATCCAGTTTGGCTTATGGGTCTTCTAAATTGCAAAAATCTGAATTGCAAAATGCAATTCATATAATAGGCTCATTTACCAAAATAGAGATGGTTGCCATAACCATATTATAAAAGTGAGGTCTGTGTTCGGAAAATCTACTACAGTTTCCTTTCCTGTCTTTCCAGTAAGAAATTTAAGCTTGGACATTAAAAGAAAAAAAAAAAAGAAAAGAAAAGAAAAAAAGGGAAGAGAGAGAACAAGAATATTATTAAAGTTGGAGTCAGTAAAAGACATTTTAGATTCTTAATGTGCACATATATACTATGTACACATGGTGCTCTCTGGGTCTTTTCTGGTGCTATGTTCCAAATATAAATAGAACTCTCAGCTATTCAGAGGAAAAACAGCAAGTAGATGAAGCATTCTGAATTAACCATTCCACTCGTGAGCTCAGGTCGGAGCCAGAGTAGAGACGGGCCTCGCCTTCTCTCTCTCCCCGCCCCCGGCTACAGAAAGGCAGCAGAGAAACGAGGGCAAACTTATCCTACCTTTCCCTGCTCTGAGATTCCTCGTCTCCTGACTACTCTCTTCTAAAATTATTGATTTTTTAATATTGATTACATGTCAAAAATCCCTGACACACTGGGTAATATAAAATATATTAAAATTAATTTCACCTGTATCTTTATACCTTTTTAATGTGGTTACTAAGAAATTTAAAATTGTACATGTGACTGCATAATGCTGGATAGCACTGCTTTGGAGCATAACCAGAACAGAACCACTACATTATACTGTCTCTTTTTAAAAAGAAAAGACAAAACTGAATGATAGACATATTCAGAGTAAAATTCACAAAGAGTGGATTCTAGTAAAACAAATTAGAAAAGTGTAACTCTGCTCTATGAAAAACTGATCAATAAATCTGTCTTAATAAAGTTTGTGAAAAATGATTTCTTGATAAAAATTCATTAATATTGGTATAAACCTGATGAAAAATCTCTGTTCTACCCTGGCCAGTGTGACTCAGTTGGCTAAAGCATTGTCCAATACACCAAAAGGTCGCAGGTTTGATTCCCAGTGAGGTCACATGCCTGGGTTGTGGGTTTGGTCCCCAGTCGGGGTTCGCGGTTCATGGGAGATGCAACTGATCAATGTTCCCCTCTCACGTTGATGTTTCCAATCTCCTTCTCTTCTCCTCTTTCTAAAAATAAATGCATTAAAAAAAAAATCTTTGTGTTCTGAAAGGTAGGGTCAAAACACCCTTATGGCCAAAACATCAGGGGAAGCATTCCTTAGACTCCTCAGACCACGGGTTAGTCACGCTAACGTGGCAGAGCCCTGGTCACAGCGCGCCCTGCAGGACCAGCAGCAGGCTCCATGTGTCCTGGTATTTAAGTCTAGAAAACACCCTCAGGACCTGGGGGAAGGGGTCGGAAGGCTGGTATCAACTGGGAAAGGATCAGAAAAATAAGGCAAGTTCCTACAGACTTTCTCTCTAGACACCGTTACATTCCTCCCATCAAAGATTCTGAGTATTTCTCCACAAAAACTGAACATTAATTCAAACCACAGTTTGAAATCAGAACTGTATTTACATGGGCAGGAAAAAATACGGTTATTCAGAAATGGGTTTTTAGCCAAATACAATATCCCTGTGAAATAATCTTAGACGCCAAAAAAATACTTTGGAAGTTAAAAAAAGAGAGAGGGAAGGTGGGGGGCACGCTTTACAGTTGAGCAGCAAAGCACCCGACGTCTTGCCGCGTCGAGGGGAAGAGCCCCTCCGGCGATCGGAGGCCCCAGAGCCACCCCCCGCCCCCCGCCCGCCCCCGGTCGGCGCCTCCTCTCTGCGGGGCCCAGAGAGGGCCCAGTGATCTTCGCCACTTGATTTAAAACCAAAGCAACAGGTTGGCGCATCATAATTTTACATTTTACTTATGATTACTAACATCGCACTATAATAGTGTCCTCAGAGAAACCATGAAATTAAGTCTCACGCCTCCTTACAAAGTCATTTGGCTGTTTCATGACTAAGCTCTCTCGGACTAGACCCCTGTCAGTTTGATGGTCACGTGACTGTGCGAAGCACGGCGGCCCTGCTTCCTAGTGACCGCTCTGTCACAAGCCAGGGGTATGGAGCCTGCTTGTGTCGCCAGGGCCAGACTTTGCTGCCCGTTTTGTAAAATGAGCACGCTTATCTCAAAGGATTTTTAGAGAGTCTGAGTGATTAAATATGACTTTTCTAAACAGGAAAATGCTATATAAAGCATTAGTACTCATTCATCTGATTTCTTAAAATACCATCTTTCAGTGTAGCCCTAACCAGTATCAATAATATATATCACTTTGGTTAACATTAACACTGATAATTTTTCCTCTATTTACCATGTCATCTTTATGAACCAAGGCAAAAGAATCAAAAGGAGGAAGAAAGAATGTTAGAAAGATGATCCCATTGATAGATATGTCAATCAATAAACTGGGTTTTGTGTCTTATTTGCACTGGCTACCTAAAAGATAAATTTAAATCTAATATATTAAATCTGATATAAGAAAATTTAGTTTCTTCATTTAATTAAATATAATCAAAGCAAAAAATTAGATGGTCTTTTTTTATTAGAGAATTTCAACTTATACAAGATTACTTTCATTGTAACACCAAATAATATTTTTAAAAGGCATCTTATATTTATTTACACTTGAAGACATATTTGCTTTGTTTTTTAACTCAATCCTTTCAACCGTATCAGACACAGAATTTTAAGCTGTAGAGTACATGGTGAATATTTTCTTGTTCTCCATAATTATAATTATTACTAGATAAGAATCAGTGATTAAACTGAAATAACAATGTTGAGGTCTACTGAATTATTTGTAAGTTAAATTAGATTTACTATGTGCATATGAGAGATTTTATATAAATTTGTAATGTAACCAGGTCCGATTTATGTTCTCTCTACTTTCTACCCTCAATGCTGTAATATGAATCCTGGTGTTTTGAACGGCATTTTCCATATCAAAACAAAAATATTTTAATGTGAGTCAAGTTATATGTTTAATTTTTAAAGGTTCACATAGTCCAGCCATATCCCTTCAAAAAGGAAGGCAAATTGTCAGTGAAAAGCAAAGCCATTATAATAATTTTGCCACTTACTATCATCATCACTGTAGAAAA